CCCTTTATGATAATAGCAAACATTATTCAGTACTCACTATATGTCAAGCACTGTTTACGTACTTTGGGTATATTAATTCAATCCCTACAATAATCCTTAGGGGTAGGTGCTATTATCATCTTCATTTTGCACACCAAAAACTGAGGCAGAGAGATACAAAGGAATTTGCCCAAGGTTACAGAGCTGGGACTATTGAACACTTTCTCAAATATTGGTTCATTTAATCCTTTCAAAGGCATAATGAATTTTATCCAGCAATTCCCTTTCTGCCATTTTACAGATGGAGACACTGAAACTCAGAGAAAGAAAGCAACTGGCCTGAGGTTACACAGCTAGGAAGCGGGCAAAGCTGGGCCTAAACCCAACTTGACCTCAAACCCTTTCCCTTTTTTTCGTGCCAGATGTGAAGGACAGGCAAATGATCTGTGAAGAGAACAGTGTGCCGGTGTAGGGAGTTTTGTTCCCAGGTGCCGGGACCATGTCTTGTCCTTTATTGTTTCCACACTAATCTCTAGGGCTGGGCCCTTCTGTCTTGGAGCTTGGCTCCCATGTTTGACTGAGTGATGGTTCTTTTGGCCAGTCTCACCCTGTGACTAGTTATGGTCATGTTGCCAAGAAATTGCCTTATGCCCTCATTTTGGCTTCTGATTTCCACTTCTCTCCATGAACTTGGATGTTTCTTGACCATGGAATGTTTAAACATGGTTAACCAACTGTGTGGTTTTTGCATGTCTGTACTATCTGTGTCTCTTCTGATGTGGTGTCACGATCTGCAATGGCAGGGGTGAGACCTGGATTCTGATCTTGATTCCTCTGCCAAGGGACCCTGGAGCAAGTCTTTTAACTTCTATAGGCCTCAGTTCTTCAGCTGCCAACCAAGGACAATCATGTCTGTCCTGTCTCCATGAAAGCCCTTTGGAAAATACAGATGCAAATAGAAGGTGGGTCACTGGCTGGGCACGGTGGCTCATGCCTGTAATACCAGCACTTTGGGAAGCCAAGGCATGAGGATCACTCAAGGTCAGGAGTTCAATATCAGTCTGGGCAAAATAGTGAGAGTATCACTACTAAAAAATTAAAATAAGAATAGATGTGGTGGCCATGCCTGTAATTCCAGCACTTTGGGAGGCTGAAGCAAGTGGATCACAAGGTCAGGAGATCGAGACCATCCTGGCCAACATGGTGAAACTCTGTCTCTACTAAAAATACAAAAATTAGCTGGGCATGGTGGTGTGTGCCTGTTATCCCAGCTACTCGGGAGGCTCAGGCAGGAGAACTGCTTGAACCAGGGAGTTGGAGGTTGCAGTGAGCCAAGATGGTGCCTCAGACTCTGTCTCAAAAAAAAAAAAATTGAAATAAAAAAATGGGCCAGGTGCGTTGGCTCAAGCCTGTAATCTCAGCACTTTGGGAGACCATGGCAGGTGGATCACTTGAGGTCAAGAGTTCCAGACCCACCTGGCCAACATGGTGAACCCCATATCTATTAAAAATACAAAATTAGCCAGGCCTGGTGGTACATGCCTATAATCCCATCTATTTGGGAGGCTGAGACAGGAGAATCTCTTGAACGCAGGAGGCAGAGGTTGCAGTGAGCTGAGATCGTGCCATTGCACTCCAGCCTAGGCAACAAGAGCGAAGCTCTGTTTCAAAAATAAAACAAAATTAGCCAGGTGAGGTTGTGGGCACCTATAATCTCAGCTACTTGGGAGGCTGAGGCAAAAGAATCATTTGAACCCGGGAGGTGGAGGTTGCAGTGAGCTGCAATCGTGCTATTGCACTCTAGCCTGGGTGACAGAGTAAGACTCTGTCTCAAAAAAAAAAAAAAAAAAATTACTGGGCACAGTGGCTCACGCCTATAATCCCAGCACTTTTTTTTTTTTTTTTTTCTTTTGAGATGGAGTTTCACTCTTGTTACCCAGGCTGGAGTGCAATGGCGCGATCTCAGCTCACTGCAACCTCTGCCTCCTGGGTTCGGGCAATTCTCCTGCCTCAGCCTCCTGAGTAGCTGGGATTACAGGCACGTGCCACCATGCCCAGCTAATTTTTTGTATTTTTAGTAGAAACGGGGTTTCACCATGTTGACCAGGATGGTCTTGATCTCTTGACCTTGTGATCCACCCACCTCGGCCTCCCAAAGTGCTGGGATTACAGGCTTGAGCCACCGCACCCGGCAATCCCAGCACTTTGAGAGGCTGAGGTGGGTGGATCACCTGAGGTCAGGAGTTTGAGACTAGCTTTGCCAACATGGTGAAACACCGTCTCAACTAAAAATACAAAATACTAGCCGAGGGTGGTGACATGTGCCTGTAATCCCAGCTACTGCGGGGAGACTAAAGTAGGAGAATCGCTTGAGCCTGGGAGATGGTGGTTGCAGTGAGCCGAGATTGCACCACTGCACTCCAGCCTGGGTGACAGAGCGAGACTCTGTCTCAAAAAAATAAAATAAAAATAATAAACCTTTTTTTCTAGAAGGGGTCACTGTAATGTAAGGCATACCATAGGTGCTCCTAGATGGTACAACTGACTGCATGGAGAAAATGTACAATGACGTGGGAACACCACTTGTAATAAGAGTTCAGGAGGAAAAGAGCAATAAATAAAACTGCTTTGTGTGCAATATGATCTCAATTATGTAAAATATCCACAGAAAATAGACGAGAGGAAAATATACAAACATGATTGCCTGTGGGTTGTGAAGTTATATGTGTATTTTGCTTTGTGAGATAAATTATTTTTTAAGACACAGGATCTCAGCTGGGTGCAGTGGCTCATGCCTGTAATCCTAGCACTTTGGGATGCCAAGGTGGGCAGATCACCTGAGGTCAGGAGTAGAGACCAGCCTGGCCTAGATGGCGAAACCCCATCTCTACTAAAGATACAAAAAAATTTAGCTGGGCATGGTGGTGAGTGCCCATAATCCCAGCTACTCAGGAGGCTAAGGCAGGAGAATCACTGGAACCCGGGATGCAGAGACTGCAGTGAGCTGAGATTGCACCACTGCACTCCAGCCTGGGCAACAGAGCAAGATTCCGTCTCAAAAAAAAAAGACACCGGGTCTCCTTCTGTCACCTACGTTGTTATGCAGTGGCATAATCAGTACCTCACTGCAGCCTCAAACTCCTGGGTTCAAGACATCCTTCTGTCTCAGTTTCAGATTACAGCTAGGTGCCACAACATCGAGCTAATTTCTTTACAATTTTTCTTAAAGATGGGGTCTTATTATATTTTCTAAGCCTGACTTGAACTCCTGGCCTCAAGGGATTCTCCTTCCTTTGCCTCTCAAAGTGCTGTGATCATAGTTGTGAGCCACCATGCTCAGCCTAAAAAATTTTCCAGTTTGCTAAAGCTAGCCTATTTTATTTTATTTATATATATATATATTTGAGACGGAGTTTTACTCTTGTTACCCAGGCTGGAGTGCAATGGCGCGATCTTGGCTCACCGCAACCTCCACCTCCTGGGTTCAGGCAATTCTCCTGCCTCAGCCTCCTGAGTAACTGGGATTACAGGCACGCGCTACCATGCCCAGATAATGTTTTGCATTTTTAGTAGAGACAGGGTTTCACCATGTTGACCAGGATGGTCTCAATCTCTTGACCTCGTGATCCACCTGCCTCGGCCTCCCAAAGTGCTGGGATTACAGGCTTGAGCCACCGCGCCCGGCCGCCTATTTTATTTTTATATAATATTTTATCACTTACAAAATTATATATAAATATAATTTAGCACTTGGCCCTTGACTGTGTTGCTCTGGTTACCAAAACATTGATGCAATCAGGAGTGATCCTGTATTCATTCATTCATTCCTTTGTTCAGAAAAGACTGAGGGCCTGTTCTGTTTAAGTCACCATTGATAAGTACTACAAAGAACACTAAGATGAATAAGGTATAATCCCTGCCTTATCGTTACTTATGAATAGGGTGTTCTCTTAGATAACCATAACTGAGTAGATAAAATGAAAAATATATGTTTTAGGAAAACTGCCACTAGGAGATAAGAGTTCAGAGAAATCTACTTTATGAAGATTAAGATTTTGTGAAGAAGTTGACATTTGGTGCTGAATCTTGAAGGACAAGCAGAATTCAGGACAAGTGGAAATGGAAAGGGTTATTGGCAATAATAAAAGTAATGAAAGGGAATATTTACTTAGCATATACTATGCTATAAATGTCATTGTATTATTAAATTATACACATTATCTCACTTAAGACTCACTGAAGCTCTATGAGATAAGTAGACTTATCATCTCCAATTTACAGATGGGGAAGCTGAGGCTTAAAGAGAGGTTAAATATTTGCCCAAAGTCACAAGGTTGTTGAGCCAGGATTCACAGTCATGACCTCACTATTAATAGCTATGTTATTTGAATGGAGGGAGGAAAACTTGAGGCCCACAGGGGAATAGATGGGAAACTTCTGGAAAGCAGGGAACATGTCTGTCTTGCTCGCTTTTCTATGTGCAGGGCCTAGCAGTATCTGGTGCATAGTAAATGATCAATACATAGTTGTATGGATGAAACAGGGTGAAAGAAACAGGTGAAAGGTGAAAGAAACTCTGTGCTGGAAGGCAGTGGGATGGGAAGGTTAGTTAGGGTCAGGTTGTGCTGGTTGTGAATGTGGAGATTCAAAGCAGAGACAGGGCCTGAGTCCATCATAGAGCCAGAGAGCTGACCCAGTCAAGTGTGGTAGACTGGCTCACAGTGGGAGTACAGTTAGTGAGGAAGTCCATAATGGGACAACGTGGGAAGTACAGAACTCCAGGGAGCATAGTGGGGATGGGAGAAGAGGCTGCATAGGTAGAACTGATGAGAAGAGGCTGGGATGGTGCTTGTTTCCAACTCATAAGGGTGAGTGTGTTAAAAGTTAATTCTCTTATCAGACCTTCTTCATTGCAAGCCATACCTCACCCTGACTACCCCCCTTCTTCTGAGCCTCCTTTCTCATCTGTAAAGTGGGGATAGTCTTGGAAAACGATTGCCCTGGGGTTTAAATGAGGTAGTATGGAAACAGTCAGTCCCCACCCCACCTCCTCCTTATAAGTCAGCTATTACTATTTACATCTACTTCACAAGAGGAGATCTTGGCTGAGCCTCTTCCCAAGAACTGAAATAATTATGTGACATGTGCCAGAAGGCTCAAGAGTCTTCAGAGTCTTGAAAAACACTCCCCAGCTGGCAGTTTTTTGGCCAAGGACCCTCCTTTTGCTAACCTCACTCACTCTGTGTCAGTGTAAGAGGTTTCACACCCAACGGGCCCTATAGCAGAAAAATAAGTGATTCGTGTAAGGTCTTCCAGAAATACAAGGCTCTTTGGAAAACCAAACTCAAAGAGGAATAAAACTAGTACATATCCAAGCATGTTAAATTTTCATTCATAATAAGCACAGATAACTCAAAGAACCACTCCTCTTTCCTTTACCTATTCATCGCTTCCCCTCCAATAGAATCAAATCTCTTGCAAACTTTGTATTTTCTTCCTGCCCATAAGCTAGATGGGCAGGCATGCTTCCTGTTTCATGGATGGAAAGCTCAGGAGGCTGCCCAGTCATTCAGCAAAATCAGAGGTGGAACCCAGGTTATAAACCAATTCTCCCAGCTCTCTAGTCTCTCATGCACCCTGCTCTGTCTCACTTTAGGAATTTGTCAGCACGAGGAGCAAACAAGCATTTAATTAATTACAAATAGGCATTTGTTCATGTTTTGTTTTTGTTTTTGTTGCCCAGGCTGCAGTGCAGTGGTGCGATACTGGCTCACTACAACCTCTGCCTCCCAGGTTCAAGCGATTCTCCTGCCTCAGCCTCCTGAGTAGCTGGGATTATAGGTGCAGGCCACCACGCCTGGCTAATGTTTGTATTTTTAGTAGAGACAGGGTTTCACCATGTTAGTCAGGCTAGTCTCGAACTCCTGCCCTTGTGATCCACCCGCCTCGACCTCCCTAAGTGCTGGGATTACAGGTGTAAACCACAGTGCCCAACCAATGTTTTGTTTTGTTTTTGAGACAGGGTCTCACTTTGTTGCCCAGGCTGGTGGCACAATTATTGCTCACTGCAGTCTCAACTTCCCAGGCTCAGGTGATCTTCCCACCTCAACCTCCCCAGTAGCTGGGACTACAGGTGTGTGCCCCCATACCCAGATAATGTTTTGTATTTTTTTGTAGAGATAAGTGTTTCGTCATGTTGCCCAGACTTATCTTGAACTCCTGGGCTCAAGAGATCCACCTGCCTGGGCCTCCCAGAGTGTTGAGGTTACAGGCGTGAACAACCATACCCAGCCTAAATAGTTATTTGGACCCATTTTATTAATTTGGTGGGCTTTATTTTTTTGAGACAAGGTCTGGTCTCGCTTTGTTGCCCAGGTTAAGGTGCATTGATGCGGTCACAGCTCACTGTAGCTGCTACCTCCCAGGCTCAAGCAATCCTCCCACCTCAGCCTCCTGAATAGCTGGGACTACAGGCATGTGCCACCACGTCTGGCTAATTTATTTGTTTGTTTAGTTTTTTTTTTTTTTTTTTTTTGAGACAGAGTTTCACTCTTGTTACCCAGGCTGGAGTGCAATGGCACGATCTCGGCTCACCGCAACCTCTGCCTCCCGGGTTCAGGCAACTCTCCTGCCTCAGCCTCCTGAGCAGCTGGGATTATAGACACGAACAACCATGCCCAGCTAATTTTTTTGTATTTTTAGTAGAGATGGGGTTTCACCATGTTGACCAGGATCGTCTCAATCTCTTGACCTCGTGATCCACCCGCCTCGGCCTCCCAAAGTGCTGGGATTACAGGCTTGAGCCACCACGCCCGGCCTTATTTGTTTAGTTTTTAAAGACAGGGTCTCACTATGTTGCCCAGGTGGGTCTCAAATTCCTGGGCTCAAGCAATTCTCCCACCTTGGCCTCCCAAAGTGCTGAGATTACAGGTGTGAGCCACAACACCTGGCCTAGTGTTTAAGCAAACGGTATGTTTAAACTCTAGGCACAGGTTAGCCTGATCCTTGTCACTTTCTGCCTAAGCATATTTTGTCTTACCTCTATTTTTTGGCCGCAGGTTAAATATTACTCAATTATTTGGTTCCTGTAATTAGAGTTTACCCTTTAGAGAGATAGGATTCAACCTGTTTTGTATCTTACTGAGGCCTATTTGAGGGATTCTCCATAAATACTTATGGATATGACAATGGAGAGAGGGAGGTAGGCTGTGCAGAGTGGGACCGTGGGTAAGAATAAGGCCTGGAGACATAGAACACTCTGAAAAATCCCACTCTGATAGCTGCTACCTATGATGCTGAGTACCCCACCTTACTTTCTTTTCTGATTTTCAATTGCCTTCCTTTGTAATTTGAAGACAATAACCGTTTCAGGACCTAGCCTGTAGTTCCTGGCACATAGTAGGGGCTCAGTAGACATTTAGAGAAATAATTAGTACATATCCCACTGGACTGTTATGAGGATTAAATGAGATAATAAATGTCAAGTACTTCCCATAGAACCTAGTGTATAATAGTTACTCAATAAAAGTAGCTACTCCTATTTGGTCATTACTAGTATAGTAGTCCCCTCTTATCTGTGGTTTTGCTACCTGACGTTTCAGTTACCTGTGGTCAACTGTGGTCAGAAAATATTACATACAATAAGATGTTCTGAGAGAGAAAGAGCATAGTCACATAAATTTTATTATAGTCTATTGTTATAATTGTTCTGTTTTATTATTGTTATCTCTCGCTGTGCCTAATTTACAAATTAAACTTTATTATAGGCATGTATATATAGGAAAAACATAGTATAGATAGAATTTGGCACTATTTGGGGTTTCAGGCATGCATTAGAGGGTCTTGTAATGTATCCCCTGGGGATAAGGGAGGATGACTGTATTTATGACTTTATTTAGAAATATATGCATATAGAATACCATAGTTGGTTAGGAATCAAAAAACCTAAATTCAAATCCCAGTTTCATCATTTTTTTATTAATTTTATTTTTTAAATGGATGACAGGTTTATGCGTTGCCCAGGCTGGCCTGGAATGCCTGACCTCTCCTCCTCATGTGCCAGGACAAGTGGCCTGAGCCACCGTGGCTCCCTAAAACTTTTTTAAAAGTAGAGATAGGGTCTCACTATGTTGTCCAGGCTGGTGTCTAACTTCTGGGTTCAAGTGATCCTCTTGCTTTGGCCTTTCAAAGTGTTGAGATTACAGGTGTGAATCACCATGCCCAGCCCCAGTTTCATTATTTTAATGTAAAAAAAGCTGCTGGATTTAGGTTAAAGAGATTCAGGTATGAGACCTGGCTCTGTCTGGCTCTGTTTTGTGACTTTGGATAAGGAACTTTTCTTTTTTGAGACGGAGTCTTGCTCTGTCACCCAGGCCGGAGTGCAGTGGGGTGATCTCAGGTCACTGCAACCTCCACCTCTTGGGTTCAAGCGATTTTCCTGCTTTAGCCTCCTGAGTACCTGGGATTATAGGTGTGCACCACCACGCCTGGCTAATATTGTATTTTTAGTAGAGACAGTGTTTTGCCGTGTTGGCCAGGCTGGTCTCGAACTCCTGACCTCAGGTGATCCACCTGCCTCGGCCTTCCAAAGTGCTGGGATTATAGGGGTAAGCCACGGTGCCCAGAGTTTCTTGTCCACACAGTACTCTCATACCCTCACAAGTTCTCGGGGGTGGGGGGATGGTACTTCTCTAATGCCAATTACAAAAAGAATGACCAACAATAGCAATTATGTCCCCTACTAACAAAGTTTACAGAGGGTCTAGAGTGAATAAGCTCTTCAGGAAATATTTATCAATTAATTTTTAACGGCTGGGAGTGGGGGCTCACGCCCATAATCCCAGCACTTTGGGAGGCTGAGTTGGGTGGATCATGAGGTCAGGAGTTCAAGACCAGCCTGACCAATATGGTGAAACTCCATCTCTACTACAAAATTTAGCCGGGCGTGGTGGCATGCGCCTGTAGTCCCAGCTACTTCGGAGGCTGAGGCAGAAGAATTGCTTGAACCTGGGAGGCAGAGGTTGCAGTGAGCTGAGACTGTGCAACTGCACTCCAGCCTGGGTGACACAGCAAGACTCTATCTCAAAAAAAAAAAAATTAATAAAGCTGTGCATGGTGGCACGTGCTTGTGGTCCTAGCTGCTTTGGAGGCTGAGATGGGAGGATGGCTTGAGCCCAGGAGTTCGAGGCTGCAGTGAGCCAGATCACACCACTGCACTCCAGCCTGGGTGACAGACCTCATCTCTTCAAATAAACAGTGGCATTCCAGTGGCAATGTGCAATAATTTACCTTCTGATTAAGAGTACGTGTAATGCACTTAGTAGATTCCTGCTTTAATTCATCGAGACCCCTTTAGCATTACCTTTCTTGGTAGCTCTTTCGAAGTACTGGCTCATCTATAGAATTTACACAGCACCTTGATTAACATTGTCTTACTTGACCCTTCACAGGAGCTCAGAAGGTAGAAGAAAGTCAGGCATTATTTATCCCCATTTTTCCACCAGGAGAGGGGTCCAGGGAAGTGCGGCTAGCTGGCCAAGGCTTAGAGGCTGAATAACCGAAGAGTTGGAATTACCTGGCTATCCCGACCAGTACTTCTCCCCAATACTGGTTACAATCCTACAGCTCAGCCTTGCTGGCTGGGGCAGTTCCAAGAGGCTTTTCATTCAGTCTTCTAGATCCAGAAGGTTGTGTGCTCTAATTCTTGTTTTGGAGATGGCCAACATTCCAGGCTGTTATGTTATGTGAGGACGTGGGATCACAGCCAGTCAAGAGCCAGGACTTCTCCAAGTGAAGTCATAAGCACCAAAGGGATCTTGCTAGACATGCAGATTTCTGGGTCCAATCCCAGACCAAGCCTGATTCCTAACACTTTGGCATTGGCTTTCAAAGAAATCTTCCCTTATCACCCAAACGAAAGTAGCCCATCTAGTGTGATTACCACAGTAACTGCTGTCTTCATAGATACTAGACAAGAATTTGTTTATCATTTGTTTATCGTCTCTTTCTCCACCTTAGAATAATTTCCATGAGGATAGGGACTTTGTTAGCCTGGTTTAAACCAAACCTGTTTCCTAGAACCCTGCAGCCCCCACAGTACGAGGTCAGTATTTATTGAATCGAATGTACACTGAAGTTTGAAACCGCTGTCATATACTGCTCCTTCGTTGTACAATAGGGAAATTGAGGCCCAAGAAGATGGAAGTCACTGTTGCAGGGATGGTAAGGGGCAGGGCCAGGATAAAATCTCAGATCTCTCAAGTCCCAATCCAGGGACCGTTCAGCTCCGCCCAAAGCAATTCTTTAGGAAAAACGACATCCACTTGAAAGAAAAGACATTTCCTGCCCATAAATACTAGGTTTCGCAGCGGGGAGGAGGGCCTGGCCTGGGTGAGGGCTTTGGTAATTCCGTTCCCACTTCTCAGGCGCCCGCTGCCCGCAAAGGCTCAGGACTCGCCTTCCAGGCCCGGAGTCGAACCCATCTCCAGGTAGTGTCGAGGCCAGGCCCGGCGGCGGCGAGGCGCGGAGCACAGCTCACCGAGGTGCGGACGCTCACCCGATCAAGGTCACCCAGGCAGAGGCTCGGGGGGCCAGGCCCGCTGGGTACCGGGGAGGGGGCGGCGTTGGCGCGTCCTCGGGGCGGATGAGGGGCCTCCCTTCGACCCCCTGGAAGTCAGGAGTGACACTAACGGCTCCTTCCCCACTGAATCTGGCACTCAGCCTAAAAAGCGCGAGCAGGCCCGGCCGGCCGCGTGGCCTGGTCCCATGTGCTCCACCTGAGGCCGCCCTCACGCGCTGGCCCTTTAAGACACCTCCCCTTCTCGCCCAGTCTCCTCTCCTATCCCCCTCAGCGCCCCCACCGACAACTCCCGAATTGCATCAGGCACGTGCTCGCCCCCGTCGGGTCTGAGCGTTCCTACCCCCAGCCCGCGAGGAGCTCGGAGGAGTCGGCGGCGAGGGGCGGGGCGAGGGGCGGGACCGCAGGGCCGTGCGCGCGCGCGCCCGCTGCCCTCCGCCCGCCCGTCGCCCAGGGCCGGGCCGGCGGGCGCGCCCCCGCTGCTCCGTCGTCTCCCCTCGCCCGCCGCGTCTTGAGGCGCGCGCCCGCCCGCCGCCTGCCGCGGATCGCGTGGTCTGCTCTGCTCGCCGCGCCTCTCCCCCGTCCGTCCATATTGCTGCAGCCCCCGAGCCGGGAAGCCCGGGCCGCCCCGGGGGCGGGGGGGAGGGAGGGACGGGACGAGAAGCCTGCCCGGCTCGGGGTGGGGGCGTCTTGCGAGGAGCGGGCGGGGGGGGACGCACGCCGAGGAGGCCTGGACAGCCGAGTGGGGAGCCTTCCTCCCCCCCCGCCCCTCTAGAGGGCCTCGGATTTACAGCGGCTGCACCTAACTGGGAGGGGGCCGCGCCTCGCGTGAACCCCGACCCTTCTCCGCAGGGACTGGGGCCCAGCGCCCCCGAGGAAGGCGTCGCGGGCGCCCGACGAGCCAAGTTCGAGGCGGGGGAGGCAGCCTCGGGCGCGCCCGGCTTCTCGGGGGGGGGCGGGCGCGCAGATGGCCACTCAGGTGGAGCCGCTGCTGCCTGGGGGCGCCCCGCTCTTGCAGGCCGAAGAGCACGGGGGGCTGGTGAGGAAGAAGCCGCCGCCGGCGCCTGAGGGCAAGGGCGAGCCCGGGACGAACGACGGCCGCGGGGGGGAGCCGGACGGCGGCGCTCGGAGACCCCGGCCGCCTTGCGCCAGGCCGCACAAGGAGGGCGCCGGACAGCAGGAGCGCGAGAACCCGCGGCCGCTGCAGCCGCCGGGCGCCGAGGGCCCGGCCGTCAGCGACGGGGAGGAGGGCGGCGGCGAGCCGGGCGTTGGCGGAGGAGCTGCAGGAGCCGCGGGCGCGGGGCGCCGGGACTTCGTGGAAGCCCCCCCTCCCAAGGTGAACCCGTGGACTAAGAACGCACCGCCGCCGGTCCTGCCTACCGTGAACGGACAGTCCCCCCCAGGTGGGTCTCCCTCCTTTTCCTCCTGGGTCCGGGGGCCTCTTCCGGGGACATGGGCGTCCCCTCCCCCAGCGCCTCCCGGGCCCCGGGGTCCGCGGCCGGTCACGGTGACTCGGGACTTTGGAAAATTGCCTCCTGCTCGGTCCTGGTCGCCGCGCACTCGGGGACCTGCCCCCGCCCGAGGGCCCGGCCTCCGGGGGGCTACGGCCGCCGCAGCGGTTAGTGGGCAGCGGCGCGGTCCGGGCCTACGTCGGCGGCGGAGGGTGGGCGCCGGTTTCAGTGAAAAGGGCCCCGCCGCATGTCGGCGGAGGCGGCGGCCGGCTTCTGGTTTGAACCTTCCTCGGGAAGCCCCTCTTCCCACCCCGCCCGGCGCTCCCCGTCTCGGTAGCGTTGCGAACGTCCCCAGGTTGTAAATGTTTAATGAGCATATGTCACGGGCAGCCCAGTGCCCGGCGTGGAGTCCATGCCGGCCGCGCGGATTTGGGGGTGAGAAGTTAACAAGGTTTGTTCTCGGGGAGGTGATACTGGGCGGTAGACTCTCCGTTTGGAGACGGATTGAGGGGTCGGTTACCGGGAGAGTGGGGAGAAACCCATCGTGTTACCGAATTCGGTGGCTTCCCTCCCCGATCCCGGGCACCTTCCGCCGTGAGAAGGAGCCCGACGGCGAGTGTGCTGGGGGAGCCGGTTAGAAGGTTTGGCGGAAAATGAGGCGGGTGAGGGGCCCGCGGCGACAGGAGGGGCGTGTGGCGGCGGGGGAGGGAGCGTCCGGGCTGGGCGGGCGGGTGACAGTTGGGCGCCATGCGCTGCGCTGGCCGCCCGCAGGCCGCTCGGCCTCGGCGTTCGGCGCGGGCCGCGTCGCTCGGGGTGGCGGGCGGGTGCGGGCCCGCGGCGCGGCCCGAGTGTGCGTGTGCGCGGGTGTGTGCGCGTTCCCCCTTCCCAGCATTCCTCTGCAGCCGGGACAACGTGGTGCCTCCCCGCGCGGGGAGCGGCATGTGACTGCCGACCGGAGCTCCCGGAGTCCTCCCTCTCACTCCTCCGCGTTTTGGTCCTTTTGGACCGTGCCCCTTTCCAGGGGGAGGTGAGGGTGCAGGAAATCCCAGCAGAGCCGTGTCAGCCTGGGGAAGAGAAGCGGTACAGAATATGGAGTCTGCTCTTGGCCTGCCTTTGCCGAGAATAGCTCGTCCGCTTGGGTGGGGGGCGCGCCCACTCTCCTCTCTCGGCCGGCGGATAGGGCGGGTCTCCATTTGGTTTTGGGTCAGTTTGAGGTGGATCGGTTTTAAAATTGTCTTGTAGTTAGAATGATGGCCTCTGGTCGTAGCCTTGGTGCTGTTAAAAAGCTCTTCTGCTGTGGATGGTTGAGGCTAACTAGTTTAAACCATTCAAAAATAAAGGGGAAGCTTATGCCTTCACAGTCAAAGTAGAATCACTCCTAGTCCTAGGGAAGCCAGACTAGCCAGTCCTGAAAACATCATGTTGCAATTTTTATTTCTTTTCAGGTTGCTTCATTTGGAGGAGGGGACATTTGGGGTTTACTAACAGTCCGTCAAAATGTTCTCTTCCTTCTCCCCTCCTCCCCTTCCCCCCTTTCCCTTCCAGAACCGTCTTATGCAAAGGACAGTGCTGAAACCTCCGTTGTCTTTCACGTCCCTCCTATCCACCCACAGAGTGAGGGAAAACAACTTTAAAACACTCTTTGGTCCTTCTCCCTTCTTTAATAAACTCAAAAGGGTATAATCATCCCCGGGAGAGAGCACTCCTCAGAAGTTTAAATGGGGCTACTCATTCTGGCTGCTGCTTGGCTGATGGTGAATCTACCTTGTGGGTTTTCAATCAGCCATGACATCAGGTGGTATTGGGTGCCTGAGCTGGCATTTTGTGTAAGTCCAGGAGCCCTTGATAGTGTGCGTCACTGGGGTTATTGATCGTGGGAAGAAGACAGTTTGGCTGGCATCTTGCCTTTCCCCTGAGTGGAGAAGCTGATTGGCTTTAAGTGCCCAAAGCAAAATTCTTGAGTGGAAGTAGATTTGCTCTGTTTATGTTTTTTGGAATCTTAGGGTAAGAGAGCGTCTAGTTGGTTTAGAACCTTTGGAATAGGTTTTGACAGCCTAACTCAGTTAATCCAGTAGCTTTTCTCTCTAAGCCTGTTGTTAGGACTTGTGTGCATTTTGAGAGAGAATTCTATGATTGGGTTGTCAGCCTGCTAATTCTAGGTGGTGGCCCTTTCTCTGGAGCGTACATAGATCTCTGAAGTGCTTTTCCAGCCCTGGTATTATTTACAGCTTCGACATATTTAAATGTGACACTAGTGGAGTGGCTGTGTGGTCTTGGGAATTTTTGTGTTCTGTGATGCATATGTTTTTGGGAGTCTACAGAAATAAGTACCTCATAAGCAAACTAAAAGCTTTCCAAAGCTTGCTGCAAATGCCTATTTTTAGCCCTCCTTTTGGCTCAAATGTTGGTGTTTTAGTTCTTTAAGGGACACTTGCAGTAAGTAGTAATAAAATACGTTTTGTGATAACTCCTTTCTTGTGGAGTTCTGTGTTCTGGTTTAAACATCCAAGTCTTAGATTTGTAGTTTTAAAGCTTGAGATTTGCATTTTGGCTTTTTGGATCTCCTTCCCTCCCTAAAGTATTTTTAAATGTTTAAATTTTTTTCCTTATTCTAGTCATACCCCTTCTAAGTATAAGATCCAAGATGTCTAAGTTAAGAGATGGTATGTGGCGAAGGTTCTGGGATCAAACTGTGTGGGTAGCTCTACTACTTGTTAGCTGTGCCTCCTTGGGCAAGTTGTTTAACCATTCTGTTCCTCACCTTCTTAATTTGTGCAGTAGGTGTTTATGATTTACCTGCCTCATGGAGGTATTACGAGCATTCATTCTTAACGATATGTGTATTTAGCCCAGTGCCTGGCAGGTGGAAGTTGTACTTACTGTGGGTCTTGGTGGGACTTTTCTCTGGGTCTCTGTTTTTCTCTACCTGTAATGTGATGGGGTTGGTGAATGCAGACCTTTCCTTTTCTTGTGTTACATCAGTACTCCATGAACTGTGTGGGATCTGTCTTCTTAAAACTTGACTTTTGCTTATCTACAAGGCATGGGATGAATAATTTAAAGGTTAGTGACTCTTAAGAATTGGCTATTTTTTGCTTTGGAATGTGGTGAGATGAATTTTTTAAAAATAAGTTTTAACTTTTTAATTTGCCTTTTGTAAAGATTCTCTTTTGAGGGAGTTGCACATGTACTCTCAGGAATATGAGGAAAAGCCAACCTAACTGGACTGAAAGTTTGCTGGTGGCTGGTGCACCTGTAGTGCCTTGAGACTTGAGTACAGATAATCCTCAGTTTATGATTTTTTTGGCTTTATGTTGATGGGAAAGTGATACACATTTAAGGGAAACTATTTCAGGTACCCATACAACCATCGTTTTTTACTTTCAATACAATATTTAATAAATTACATGAGACATTCAACAGTTAAAATTGGCATTATGTTAGATGCTTTGGCAATCTGTAGGCTAAAGTGTTTTGAGTGCATTTAAGATAGGCTAAGCTTTTTTTTTTTTTTTTTTTTTTTCTTCCTTCGAGACAGAGTCTTGCTCTGTTGCCTAGGCTGGAATGCAGTGGTGTGATCTCAGCCCACTGCAGCCTATGCCTCCTGGGTTCAAGCGATTCTTCTTCTGCCTCAGCCTCTTGAGTAGCTGGGACTACAGGTGTGTGCTACCTGGCTAATTTTTGTATTTTTAGTAGAGATGGAGTTGCACCATGTTAGTCAGGCTGATCTCGAACTCCTGACCTCAGGCAAGCCGCCTGCCTTGGCCTCCCAAAGTGCTGGGATTACAGGTGTGAGTCACCATGCCCCGTGCTAGGTGAAGCGTTGATGTTCAGTAGGTTAGGTGTATTAAATGCATTTTCAATTTAATTATATTCAGATTTTTATTTTTTATTACTTTTTTTTTTTTTTTTTTTTTTTTTTTAGACGGAGTTTCACTCTTTCTATCCAGGCTGGAGCGCAGTGGCGTGATCTCAGCTCCCTGCAACCTTTGTGTTCTGGTTTCAAGCCACTCTCCTGCCTCAGCCTCCTGAGTAGTTGGGATTATAGGTGCACGCCACCATGCCCGGCCGATTTTTGTGTTTTTAGTAGAGATGGGGTTTCACCATATTGGCCAGGCTGGTCTTGAACTCCTGATCTTGTGACCTGTCCGCCTCAGCCTCTCAAAGTGCTGGGATTACAGGAATGAGCTACCACACCCGGCCATGGTTACTTATTTTTTAGACAGGGTCTCACTCTGCCACACAGGCTGTAATGTAGTGAAACAATCATGGCTCACTGCAGCCTCAAACCCCTAGACTCAAAGGATCCTCTCACCTTAGCTTTCCTAGTAGCTGGGGCTACAGGTGCACGCCACCATACTGGCTAATTTTTTTCTGTAATTTTTGTAGAAATGAGGTTCTGCTGTGTTGCCCAGGTGGATGCAGACTCCTGGGCTCAAGTGATCTGCTGGCCTTGGC